TCTGGTGACTCTGGTTCAGCTTTTATATGATACATATATATATGTTTTTTTTTTCACGGGGCGGGTCCAAGGCGGGGTAACCCCGCCTCATCCCACCTCGTGCCCCGAAACGGGGAGTGTTCGTTTGCCCCATTCAGGGTGGGGCGGGATAAATTGCCATCACTACCCATCAAGCACCTTAAAAATTGGAAAATATTGTTGAAATTCCATTTTCCATGGAAAATTTTGATATATCAAACACACCCTTAGATTCTTCAACTTCAACAACTAACTTTTGAAGTATGATTCTCTCAAAATATATTACAATTACGATGGTACTAGAGTAGGCACCACATCTTTCAGTTGCAAATGAGCAGTGTAGATGGTGATGCCAACATAGTGATATTCGTTACCTGATTTATGGGCTAGTGCAAAATCAGTCCGATGTGAACACAGGTATCACAGAGCATGGTGATTTGTCATGGATTCCATTGCAAGATATGGTACCAGATCCCTCATCAAATTATGGAATTTCTGTGTATGGTTATATAGAATCAAGCTTTCCAACTTCAACAACTAGCTTTTGTGGTATGCTTCTCTCAAGATCTATTACAACATCACATCCATGGTGAGGATGTAAGTGCACTTGGGAGGTAAATATTGTACAAGCATTTCTTATGAATCTTATTTGGAGTTGACGAAATTGTTTTTAGAAAGCCGTTGGTGGATGCCCCATTTAGTTCTTTATGCTCCTATCATATAGAGTAATCTAACTCTCGGGACAAGAATCCCTTTTCAGAAGGTATAAAGTTAAAACCAGATGCTGATGCACTTCTTTTAATATTTAATAGATAATTTTTTACTAACAAAAATTAATTTTCTACTTTCTAGAAAGTAACTTTTCTTTTCATTTTTTTTTTCTTTGAAGTTTAACCACACGAGTTCCCAGTCGGGGCTTTCAGTTTGTCAGTTTGGCATTGCAGTACAAAACTTGAGGACAACTAACTAGACCAAACAAGATTACTTCACAGAAAGTGAATGATGCATACATAATTTTTTTTAGCCTAATATTCAACAGTCATCCTGTGAAATCACTCTCTTTTTGTTCATTTCATCAACCTAAAAATCACCTAAATAAGCAACATGTAAAGCTTATGAATGAACAGGTTTATAAGAAGCTGCATGAACTGATTATTTAGTAGCTAAATCTATTTTTACGGCATTTTTAGTGCAAATTGGACAACCATGAATCGAGCCATCGCCCTCAAATTTATACTATGTTCTGTACTTCTCGTACTGTATCCCAGGACTGAAAGCCAGTGGGCGCCAAGGTCACCTCCATTACCAGTTAACCTTCCTCCACTTTGTGCATCCCAGTATGCACTAGTAAATCATGCCTGTTCAACATTGCCATTCACCCCGCTCCCTCCACCCCCTCGTCTGTCGTCATTTTCTCAGTCCAATCATTCAAGCCATAGGCATCGGCACAGACATGAACACAGACACACAAGGAAAGGACATAAGGAAGAACGTGGAGAACATGATTGTTGCCGGTGGTTCAGAGAACTTGACAGTGTTTGTGTTTGTCATCTGCTCGTGCGCTTGCCCCGATTCCTTACTAGGCCTGTGCACAATTACACTGTCATCGTTGACGAAACATGCGATGTGACTTTCCAGTGCGGGTCAAGTTGGGTTAGGGTCTGAATTTTACCAGTGAGTTACTACGCGTGAAAGTTAATTTTATGTTTTGTCTATTTAGTTTCTGTCAAAATGTTTTTACATAAGAAATCAACCTCCTTTGTTTCCTCTGTTGAAACATAGTTTAACTTGTTTTATATGTGAAAAACGCGATAACTGAAGTACCATGCGGCTTTTTTTTTTTTTTTTTTTCTTTTTTTCTTCTGCATATCAGACATTCTCTGGAGTGGGATATTCATGTAACGTATTCCAGTGTGGATCAAGCTAAATGTGGGTTCGAATTTCACCAGGGAGAGGAAATTAACTCCTCCGATCTACCTTATGAGTGTTTTTAAAATTTATAAAGTTCATTTCATGTTTATTTTCCTAGTTACTCTCTACACATGTAAAAACTACTTCCTGTGTCCTCAGTCGCACATAAAATTTACGCGGTTTCTATGTGAGAAGCAATATCTACAGTATCATTCTTCCATTTCTGCATACCAGACATCTTTGATTAATACATCAAAATTTTCTTAGTATTCTCATTTCTTATTTCTTTGTTGTTGTAAGCTTGGTGATTGTGGGTTTTACTTTCGTTGATACCTAACATAATACATGAAAAAAAAAATTGCGGTAGCGTATGTTGGGGGCGGAAGTTCAATAACACACATTGATTCCAAACTGGATTATAAAGAACGAGATTTAATGACAATATTGAAGTATACTAGGTCACACCACGAAAACACATGATTGAATTTGTAAAGAAAGAACACAAAGGGTAAACAGAGGTACGATGTTTATTAATTCAACAGTATGGAGAATACAAAACAGACTAACAATGCTGCTTCTATGTTACTCTCTCTACAAACTGACCAAATGAGTCTCGTATTTATACGTCAACCCTAAAAGAGTCCTAAAATGCAAGAAAATATATTATAATTAGGATACCTAATTTCAACAGGATTTTGTTTTCTTATTCAACTTAGTTTTCTTAAACCCTAGGTTAATATTCTCCTAGTCTAAGTCGAATACGCCTCTTCAAAAGACTTTT